TGGGGTGTGTTGCGCTTCACCTTGGGATACTTCGGTGATGTTTCCCCTAGTGTAGATGATGTCAAACTTGTCATTTTGCTCATTTGGGTGCTGGGATGTGTTGCGCTTCACCTTGGGATACTTTGGTGATGTTTCCCCTAAGTGTAGATGATGTTAAACTTGTCATTTTGCTGATGTGGGTGCTGGGGTGTGTTGCGATTCACCTTGGGATACTCTGGTGATGCTTCCCCTAGTGTAGATGATGTCAAACTTGTCATTTTGTTGATTTGGGTGCTGGGGTGTGTTGCGCTTCACCTTGGGATACTTCAGTGATGTTTCTCCAAGTGTAGATGATATCAAACTTGTCATTTTGTTGATTTGGATGTTGGGGTGTGTTGCGCTTCACCTTGGGATACTTCGGTGATGTTTCCCCTAGTGTAGATGCTTCAAAACTTGTCATTTTGTTGATTTGGGTGCTTGGGTAAGTTGCGATTCATCTTGTGATACTTCGGTGAACTTTCCCCTTGTGTTCATGCTTCAAAGCTTGAGTTTTCACTGATTTGGGTGCTTGGGTAAGTTGCGATTCATCTTGTGATAGTATGGTGAACTTTCTCCTTGTGTTGATGCTTCAAATCTTGAGCTTTCACTGATTTGGGTACTTGGGTAAGTTGCGATTCATCTTGTGATAGTTCGGTGAACTCTCCCCTTGTGAAGATGCTGCAAACTTGTGATTTCACTAATTTGGGAGCTTGGATAAGTTGCGATTCATCTTGAGATGCTCCGGTGATCTTTCCCCTTGTATAGGTGTTTCAAAACTTGTGCTTTCACTGATTTGATGCATGTGTAAGTTGCGAATTACCTTGGGATGCTTCGGTGGACTTTCCGCTGGATTCGGTGCTCTCAAACTTGTGCCTTCACTGATCTTGATGCATGTGTAAGTTGCGAATTACCTTAGGAGGCTTCGGTGAACTTTCCGCTGGATTAGGTGCTCTCAAACTTGTGCCTTCACTGATCTTGACGCATGTATAAGTGGCGAATTGCCTTTGGGGGCCTCGGCGAACTTTCCTCTAGACAGATTGTTTTTAATCTTGTTATTTGGCTGTAATGTGTGTATGTGCTGCAGTCCCCGGTAACCTGTTCAGTCCGCCTTTACCCCTTGCTGTACCCAGTGAACCCCGGTATGTGTATATGTATGTTCTGCAGTCCCCGGTAACTTGTTCAGTCCACCTTTACCCCTTGCTGTACCTAGTGAACACCGGTATGTGTATGTGCTGCAGTCCCCGGTAACTTGTTCAGTCCACCTTTACCCCGTGCTGTACCTAGTGAACCCTGACATGTGTTTGTGTATGTGCTGCAGTCCCCGGTAATTTGTTCAGTCCACCTTTACCCCTTGTTGTACCTAGTGAACCTCGGTATGTGTATGTGTATGTGCTGCAGTCCCCGGTAACCTGTTCTGTCCACCCTTATCCCTTGCTGTAACAAGTGACACCCGGTACGTGTATATGTGTGTGCTGCAGTCCCGGGTAACCTGTTCAGCCCACCCTTACTTTTTGCTGCAACCGGTGACCTGCGGTATGAGTAGGTGTATGTGTTGCAATGCGGTAGCCCCGCTCAGTCCTTCCTCTTTCACATGACCGGTGCCTTCCGAGAATAGTATGAGGTGGCCGGGCACTTGGGGTAGTGTCCGATAAGCTTTCACTGTCACCTCCGCTCCTCATATCTCGAACACCTCCAACCCCTCGTCCTCTTCCATCACCCACACCCGCCCCCATCGCCGTCCACCCTCAATCCTTCTTCTTCCTC